AAAGTTGATGTCAAATATTGGTGCCAACTGATAGTTTATAAAAATCTAAGATAAAAGTGTAAGATCGGTTTTGCTCTAAAATTAACCGTTTAGGATTTACAGCCTGTCAAAGTTGCAAAACAGTTTCAACTGTCAATATTTCCAAAACAGTTGAACTTAGGTATAGGGTATATCACATGAAATCTGCTCAGAATTTTATGTAGAATCCGAATATCCAATAATATACGGGTATTCTATTTGAAATAATAAATTTGGAGCACGACCAGCTTTTCTGAAACACCCTGTATATTATGCGAAAGTGAATTTTTCAAAAAATTTAATTTCAACCATAAAACTTTTATTTGGGACATTTTTTTCTGAAATGTCAAATAAAAAAGATAGAGAGGGGTGACATTTATAACCAATAACCCTGTACGATGATACCTCATTTGGCACTTTTTTGGCACTTTTTGTACTTTCATCTCAAAATTATTTAAATTTTTAATTTTTATTCTAAAGTGCTAGGAATTAGTTAAAATGCATAATTTTGCTCCAAGAAATCTGGAAAAATTTGTTTTGTTCTTATTTTGTATTTATTATCCTCTACAGACTCATTTAAAAATAGCAGAACCGCATTTTTGAGATTATATCAATTTTTTCAAATGGAAAGGGTATGGCTCATTAGCATAGTCTGAAAAAGCATTTTCTAATGAACAATTTAGTACCACACAATCGCCAAAAAAATTCTTATCGCCTAATTTTTAATTATCTATCGTCTATTATGCCTAAGAAGTTGTTCAAAATGACCGCCTTCGACTTCCAAACATTTCCTTATTCTTTCCCGGAATGAATTTCGTACTCACTGGAGTCACCAATAAACATGCAGAACGAATTCTGTTTTTCATGTTCTCTGGAGTCGTAGAAGTCGTAGGAGCAGTAGCCATTACTTTATCGTACCAGGCGGCTTGCTTTAGATGCTGGAATAAGTCAATCATCAATTATAGCAATTCTGCACAAGCACAAGTATCATCCTTACCATATTACACTCCATCAAGAGCTATACGGAAATGACTTTGAGAATCGCATGAATTTTTGCACTTGGGTTTCAAGAAAAATGCGCGAAAATGACCATTTTTTGAATAATGTTATTTTTTCTGATGAAGCTTCTTTCAATAATTGTGGCCAGGTAAGATTCAAATTATTTTTTACTAGTTCATAATCAGTTTTTGTTTTTTGTCTTTTTGAAGGTGAACAGACACAATATGCATTACTGGGCGGCGAATAATCCTCACTGGATGAGAACATCCCTGGTCTATCAACGTATGGTGTGGTATTTTCGAAGATAGAGTTATTGGCTCGCATTTTTTTCAAGGTCATCTAGATGGACAGGTGTACGAAGTTTTTTTTAAAAATCAGTTACCTAGATTACTGAACCAGAATATTAATCCAGACGTATGGTTTCAGCACGACGGAGCTCCACCCCACTATGCCATACAGGCCCGTAATTGTTTGAATAGATTATTTGGAAATAGGTGGATTGGTTGATATTTATTGGTGACTCTAGCAATGTTACAACGAGTACGAAATTCATTCCGGGAAAGAATAAGGAAATGTTTGGAAGTCGAATGAGGTCATTTTGAACAACTTCTTAGGCATAATAGTCGATAGATAATTGAAAATTAGGCGATAAGAAGTTTTTTTATTGTAGTTACCTTTTTAGTTATAATTCCATATTTAGTTGAACAATTTGAAAAATAATTTGTGAACAAACTCCATTTTGTATGTAGAATCGTATTTCAGAATAAAAATCACATCTTTCCATTTAAAATAAGAAAATGACCCCCCACTCCTCTCAAGAGAGTGAAGGGGCAAGTGTCAAAAATATCGTAAAGTGTGTCCCCCCTTGTACTTATTACCTCACCAAAATGTCAAAAAAAAATTTGCAGCTGTTTTTGACATATCGCATTGTAACACTTTAAAAAAACTCCCCCTGTATATCTATTAGTACCCGTGGTGCATACAAACTTTTATGTCATACCAGTTGGTTGTGAATAATAAATACCTGGGAAAAAAGTGTCACTTCACAAATTGTCATCAGTGTGCAGAATCATCATTTTTTGACAAAAATAATATGTTTATAAGTGTAAATTTATATTTTGTTAATAAAGAATAAGTTAATTGAAAACAGTTTTTTGCGTCTTTATGCCCGCACGGGGTATAATGTGTACTTTATGCCCGCACGGGCATAAAGTAATGAATTATGTAGATGATATCTAAGGTATAAAAACACAATAATGTATTGCTATGACATAAAAAAAAACGAAAGTTTCGCGATCTGAAAGTAGACGTCGGTCATGTTTTGTTTGTATTGTCTCGTTGCGGCCCGTGTATTCCAAAAATACATAGAATTTGATTGGTCGATAGGTCGTGGTTTCCAGTTTCGAATCCACGGGGCGGGCGTGTAGAATTTGTATCATTGATCAGTTTGATATCGAGCAAGAATCAATGTATTATTTAATGTTCGAAGAGAAAATGATTTATATGTCTCTTGAGATGGTTGTTTTTTGTTTTTTTTTTTTGTCTTAGGTTGATTTTTCCTTAGAATTGTGAACTTTATTGTATAGATTACCTACTAGACTTTTAGTTCATAATAATTGATAGTTTTAATGATATTATTGTTGTTATTTTGTTGTTTTATTTTTTAGAATAAGATGGCGCCAGTATATTGTAAAGTAGAATTAGTATATTGTGCTAAATAAATGACTGACTAAAAAAAAAATATAATAAGTATTAAATTATCACCGAGGGGGATTTCATTGTGGTAATTTAGTGTACACAATCGTGGTAATTAGTGGAAATTGCGCGGGAAATGAGTGACAATGACTGGAAATTAGGGGAAATACAATGGTATTTAGTGGAAATTCGTGGAAATTCGGGGTAATTTTAGGCAATTTTGGGGGTGATTAATAGTAGATTATACCACGAGTCAATAATGATAGCTATTATTCCCGAGGATTATTACGAACTGAGCCGCGTTAGCGGCGAGGGAGTAACATTCCGAGGGAATAATAGCCATTATTGCGAGTAGTATACTCTACTTTATTTACGACAAATTAATTTATTTGAGATTTTCAATGAACAAATTTCATCCGTCTCATAATTTTCAATACAAATCCACAAGCACTACACGTTTGACACTGACACTTTTGTGGAATAATGACCATTAATCCCGCTACTCGTCATTAATCCCTGGAGGAATAACATATGTCATTATACTGCCAAAATCACAAATATAATAAGCACATTATACATTAGTCGTAAATAAAGGAAATTTTGTGGTCATACCTTAAAGTTCTGTAGTGATAAAATTATGATATGCCTCCGAATTTGCTTTAATTTAGAAGTAACAGAGCTTTAACTGTAAACTATTCAACTAAGATTTAAGTAAAATATTCTTCTGAGTCCCTATTAGTTAGTTAGAAATATCAACTTTCATTTTCTAAGGAATGTTCCATTTGAGTTTCATTACATGAGAAGTGGCAACCTTGCAATTGTTCAACACTTGGTTTGACATCATCTATGAACGTCGTTTTTACTGCTCATTTTAAAACTTTCAAGTCCTCATCTCATTTAAGGCCCAGTTTTGTGTTTTAGTGTTTCTAAATCTAAAATAAAAGGTAAATGTGATAGATAGAGTATATTCTTGTTATATTATTATAATACCTTAAGCCTCTATCACACATTCGGCAAATAGCTACAGGTGTTAATGTGTTTCCGTCTCTCTGTTTCTCTAGTTTCAATTTTCAAGATTTTCGCCTATCCTAGATGGATGCCAAATACCGAGCCAAATAAGCAAATATGTGTGAGGAACTGCAAAGGCATGTGAAATTTCGTATTTTTTCATATTTCAGTATTCTAGATGGAATCCGAAATAGTGTCGGAATGTTCTAAAGTCGCTGATGGTGAACTCGGTTTGTTCCTCCAACATGAATCAAATTATTTTTTCTACTACCGTGCGTAAAGTACTCACTTTACGCACTATTCGGAAGACGTAAAATTTCATTTTCATTCATTTCATTCACTTCACACACTAGTTCATAAAGTAATGTCAATGACAGATGTGCACACTGTCAAATTACTTTTTTTCTGGTGAATTACTTCAGGCACTAGTGCGTAAAGTGAAAATACTTTACGCACTAGTACGTAAAGAATTTCTCTAAATTTATTTTTTCACACATATATTTGATTGGTAGTAGAAAAAATTTTGTATGCAATACGTGCGTAAAGTATCTTTTTTCACTCATGTGATTTTCGCACTCGCCTTCGGCTCGTGCGTCAAAATTCACACTCGTGAAAAAAGGTTCACTTTACACACTTGTTGCATAAATAACTATTTATCCAGTTTCTAGAAGATGGAACCTAAGTTTTGCGGGATTTTGGAATCCTTTTTTCTTCGAGACATTTGAAGTGTCTCCTTGAGTATTTCTCTTTTTCAACTTTCAACATCTTAATTTGCTCTTCCTTCAACATCTCGATTTGTTCGTTCATCATCAATCAAATATTTTTTATCCAGTTTCTAGAAGATGAAACTTGAGTTTTTGCAGGATTTTGGAATCCTTTTTTCTTCGAGACATGCTACAATGCCTTCTTGAGTATCTCGTTTTTTCAACTTTCAACATCTTGATTTGCTCTTCTTTTAACATCTCGCTTTGTTATTGAGTTCTAGTTTCGGGAATACTTGAAAATTGAAATAAATTCCTGGTATTTAGTGGTAATTTCAGTGGCAATTAATGGTAATGACAGTGGTAATTAGTGGTATTGACAGTGGTAATTAGTGGTATTTAGCGGAAATAAGTGGTAATTTGAGTGGCATTGATTCCTGAATGATGGCAATGAAAGGTAATAGAGGAAAAAAGTGGTAATTTAGAGGTAATTACTGGTAATTTGTGGTAATTTCTGTCAGAAGTGGTAATTTAGTGTACACAGTTCCACTACTGAAATCCCCCTCGATTATCACCTACCCAATACATCAGTAACGGATATCTGTGGATGACCCAGTATTTCTCCCTTCGTCTGGAATGGCGCTAGTTGCTGTGTAGCCTCCTCCTGGATCATATCCAAGCCGGGACTACCCGGATTGCTTATCGGCGAATTAGTCAGACTTCTATGGCTATGCACGTTCAGCACGTGCATATGATGAGGCACCTGATGCAGGAATGGTTGACCAGTGGTCATATACGATGACATTGGGAGTGGTGAAGTGTCCATTTTGTTATCATCCATTATGGGCGATCCCATGTTTTGTAAATTGACCGAGGGAGTGCCCTGTGTTATCGAACCACTTCCTGCTGTATTTAGGCCACTTAAACCTACAGGAAAATGTGTGGTAAAACGTCCAGATTTTTTATTAAAAATAAAAACTCTTACCTTGTGTAATTGACGATACACTGCTACCACCTGTAGGTGTAGAATAACCACCGAAAACAGGTGAGGCACTGGGGCTTAAGAGAGGATTTAACATTGTCGTGGTGGTACCAAAGATGTTTAGTCCTGGAACCTGAAACAAAATGGAAAATGTCATGTATAAAAACCTCTGAAAAAATATGGACTATTCCAATCTACATTAAAAGTAACGTATTACCTGTCCAAAGGTCTGTACACTCGTAGCGCCATAAGGCGAAGCCCCAGGGCATTGCAGAGGACTCCTGTCATAACCCCCTAAAGCACCAGGAACGATATTTTCAGGCGGCAACCCCAACGTTGGGTCGCGAATGTTGGAGTATTTGGAAAAGTCTTGTAGATTTTGATCTTGTGTGGTGTTGCTGTAGTACTGGTGGATGGGAGAAGCTCCCTCTGAAGAGAGCTGATGCCGAAGCGAGGGGTCAGTCACTATTTGATGGATGGGAGAACCTAAAAGAGAATAGATATTTGCTCAATGAACTGCTTTCAAATTTCAAAACTTTTTAGTTTAAAAAATGTTGTTATACGCCATTTATTCAACATGATGCCACAGCAACATGTTGGGGGCGTCGGACTCTCCCAATGCCTCAAGATTTTTTTCCGACAAATGTGATATCGTTAAAATAACATAAAAGACAGTCGATTGGAATAAAAAACACACGTACCATGTATTACCGTTCTCAGGGACGTCAGAATGACAACTTTACGAAGATCTAGCGCGACTAAAACGAACAAAATTGTCCGCCTTGGTGTTATGAAGCCGCTCAGAAAGTTTGGCGTGGACATGAGTTACAAAATTTTAAGGTCGATGTACTGGGGACTAATTGTTTGAGAAAAGCCATGCTAGAACAGCAAATGAAGATATGTTATACAGCGAATTAACTTAGTATTCAAGTGGATTATCTTCAGAGCTAACTGGAAAATATGCACAAAAAAAATTATGATCTAGAGACAAAAGTCAACCAAAAAGAAGAGTCCATCAACATGGTCTACCAAACCGACAAAGACGAGTTGGCTAAAGAAACTGAGTGTAAATAACTTTTAACGATATTTACAATAAATTAAATATCATACGAGGAGTTCAAATAAAACTTCTTAATAATGAAAATATCAAAATAAATGTTCAGGACGCAGACAGCTACAGATTGATAACTAAAATACTAAATAAAACAAAGCTTCAATGGCATGCATATGTAACTAGCGAACCGGCAACACTGATAGTATTATTGTTCACTTATCGTGTGAAAAATGCTTGAAAATTAAAGTTTTTTCTGACGAATAATTGTGGAAACGTGCTCAAAGGGCTCTGTTAGTCCTGATCTCGAGGTGATGGTGATAGTAGTGAGTTCTGTGGAGTAAAGACAATTTTAATTTCCAAAGAAATCGTGTCCTTTGACGATCAGCTGGCAAACGCTGTTCTTTTGCAACAGTTTCTGGAACTAGTGGACATTATTGAGCATGGGTGACAATGCAACATGCATAAATTGCAAACAAAAACAAAATAAGCGAGAAAAATTTTACGTATTCGCCTGTGATTCTTGCAATACATACTACTGTGGGGACTGCTCTAAATTAACAAAGTCCGAGGTGAGATGCATGCCTCTACAAGAACGACAACTAAAATTCTTTTGCATACTATGTAGAGAAAATGATTTCATAGAGAGCCTTAAAAACACAATTGTAGACAAAACAACAATTATCAATGATAAACAAATGATAATAGATATGTTGCAGGAACAAATAAATAAAGATGCTAGAAAGTACTAAATCTTATGCAAGTGTTGCATCTATTCCTGCCTTGCCACCACAGCCTTTCAGACTTCATACTCCTAAAAATGTTCCTCCGGTGCTTATTAAACCAAAAAACAAACAACATGCGGAAGTTACAAAAACAGAACTACAATCAAACATTAATCCGGGTCAGTTAAATGTGAGCATCAAATCGGTGAAGACTTCGAAAAATGAAGTTTCTATAAAAAACTGTAGCAGCGAACAGGAAAGTGAAAAGTTGCTACAAACTATACAAGAACGAGACACAGGGAAAAAGTATACAGTACAGCTAACGTAAATGAAGAAACCTAGATTTAAAATAGTAACGTCAACAACAAACATGAGCATGGAAGATATCACAAAGTGCCTAAAACAACAAAACCACTTTATTCAGGACGAGGACTACCTTAACTTAACTTACATTAAACCTATAAGAAACAACAAAAGCATCCTCTTTGGTGAATGCTCTGGAGACCTTTATGGAAGACTGATGGACTATAAAAAGGTGTTTTTATCATGGGAACGATGTCCAGTCTACAAGGACACTAGAATTCGGAGATGTAAAAAATGCTTTGCATATGATCATAAAGACATAGAATGAAGGAATAAACTTGCTTGTACTTACTGTAGTTTAGAGCACAAATTTGAGAATTGTCCAAAAACTTTTAAAAAATGCTGCAACTGCTCACGAGCAAATGAAAAATGCAATTTAAATCGAAACACAGAGCATGAAGCTTTTTCCTTAGACTGTCCTACATACAAATACTTTCTGTAGAGATATAAAACCTCTATAGACTACTACTCTAAGCAGTAGTCATTCAATAATATATTTTATTGCTTTTCTTTACTCTAGTTATGTATATATTTATTTATATTTTCCTTCCTTTATGGATATTGCCAATATTCTTAATACATTAGAGACAGAAACTGACTTAGAACAGCTGCAAACAACCGTCGAAGTGGATGAGTTTAAGGCCAAAATTAAATCTAACAAAAAAAATCTGGAAATTTTACATTTTAATGTGTGTAGTGCTCCCAGATACTTTGATGAAATTTTGATATTTTTGCAAGCTTATCAACTCGAAAACACTGATATGTTAATATTGGGAGAAACCAGAAACAATTTTTTACCAAGCCAATTCAACATTCCTGGTTTTACTACTTCTTATTTACATAAATAACAGGATAAATTTTGATATTAAACACACAGTAACACCACTGTCTCATGTCACCTTAACAGAAATTCGATTTAAACTTAGTTATGTGACTTATAATGTTGTGACTACATACAGATCACCCTCTACTTCAGAACAAAACAATCTGTGACAAAACTTTGTGCTGGATCTTGAAAATTTCTCAGAAAACATTCTAAGTGAGGATTTCACAATTTTTTTAGGTGATGTAAACATAAATGTTTTGAATCGCGATCTACCTGTTGCAAACTGCTACTTGACCACTCTCATGTCACAAGGTTTCAAATCATATATAAATACTTTCACTAGAGTCACAGCAGACACAAAGTCTTGCATAGACCACATCTTTGTCAAACAAAACCTGAACAATCTCAACCTGAACTTATATTCGGCTGTGATAAACCATAATATAACAGATCATTATACCCTATACATTTACAAATATGTAATAAAAACCAAGACAAACCACTAACCATGGAAAAAACTATCACCAATTTTGACAATATAAAATAAAACTTAATCATTCAAGAGTCTTGGATTCCTGTCCTGACAGAAAACGAGGCAGACTCAGCATGGAACATATTTCACAACATTTTTACCGAAATGTATGATAAATGTAGAAGAACAAAGGTTATAAAAGTGCAGAATCACGTAAAAATTAAACCTTGGATTATAAATGCAATTATAACCTCTATAAAACACCGTGATCACCTGAAGAAAAAATTGATAAGGAATGGAAATGATGGGGAACTTATTCAGAGATACAAAACATATAGAAATAATTTAAAGAAAATTATAAATGAAGCCAAAGCCAGGTATTACCGTGAGGTAGTAAATGACAACAAAAATGATATGAAAAGAATATATAATATAATAAATGAACCAACAAACTCAAACACAAATAAAAACAGTGAAATTAACATCCTAGACAATAAAAATAAACAATTTGAAAACACATGACAGATGGTGAATTTCTGAAATGAGTATTTGGTCTAGATTGGACAACAAATGGAAACCAAAATACAATCGCCTACCAATTACAGAGACTGCAATAATCCTTGTGTCACTCGAAGCATGTTTCTTAGGCCAGTATGTATTAACGAACTCATTTTGCATATAGCATCACTTAAAAACAACAGTTCTCCTGGATATGACAATGTGGGTGCAAAACTAATAAAAGATCATCCTTTGCATGTTATTGTTCCTCTCGTGCATATCATAAATTTAATCTTTCTGCAAGAAAGTGTTCCACTTGACTTCAAAAGATCAATAGTAGTTCCAATTCACAAAGCCAACAACAAGAGTGAAATTAGCAATTTTCGACCAATAAGCCTAATTAATAACGACCTTCGCAAAAGTATTTGAAAAATGTCTTAAAGATAGACTATATGACTTTTTCGTAGCAAACAAAATCTTAAATGAAGATCAGTTTGGCTTTCAGAAGGGTAAGAGTACCAATCATGCCATATTCAAACTTATTGATTGCATCAAATCTGACCTGGACAAAAACAAAAAATGCGTGGGTGTCTTTCTGGATCTTCAAAGGCTTTCGACACGGTGCCTCATGAAAAACTGCTGAGAATCCTAGAGCATTGCGGTCTCAAGGCACGGTGTTGGGGATCTTTCACAGCTATAAATAAATAAATAAATAAATTCTTTATTTACGGACATGCCATTTTTACAAAGGTAGACTTAAAGTGTAGGTACACGCAATAATAAATATTTGGAATAACAAGTAGGCAACAGACAAATTAGTATAAAAAAACAACATTACATAAGCCTAAACAAATATTTTGTAGTAGGTATCAAAACACAAACAACAACATAATACGCTTAAAATTGAAAACAAATACAAAAAACGATCATTTAAGGATCGACTTTAAAATTCTTTTGAATCTATCCAAACTTATGTTAAAAACATCCAAATCAGTCTTCAAAATAATATCATTCAGAGAACGACAGCTTCTAAGTAAAGGTGAATGGTAACCATAATTGGTTCTACGAAAATCAAGGTTAAACAATGTGTTTCCTCTTAAATTGCTAGATGGTACATGTAAGCCAACTCTAGCAAGTAAGTCTGGAGAATCAATAGAATTATTAACAATCCTGAACAAAGTACACATATCAAAAAACTGTCGCCTCTGGTTCAGATTTTCAAGATTTAGGACAGACATTAACTCATTATAATTTATAAATTCACTTGGGATGCCCAATCGATATGCAATGGATCTTAAAAACTTTTTTTGGATTCGTTCCAAGTGGGAGATGTGCACAGCATAATAAGGGGACCAGACAGGGCAAGCATATTCTACAACTGATCTAACAATTGCACAATAAATGTTTCTTGGGGTGATATTAGTAAATTCTTTTAGTGACCTGAACATAAAGCCTAGTAATTTCATTGCTTTATTAGCAGTTATTTCAATGTGCTCTGTGAAGCTTACATTTGTGTTGAAATATACTCCCAAGTCTCTAATAGTTTCAACCCTGTTAATCACCAAATCATTAAGAACGTAATTATGTAAGTATGGTGTTTTTTTCCGAGAAAAAGTAATAATCTTACACTTCTCAACATTTAAGGGGAGTTTGTTTCTTTGACACCAAGTCCGAAACATATCCAAGTCCACTTGCAATAATTGAGCATCCCTGACATCCCGAACAACCATAAAACACTTCAAGTCATCAGCCAAGAGCAAAAAATCGGAATTTCTGAAGACACCTGACAGATCATTAATAAATATACTAAAAAGCAAAGGAGACAGGTGTTCTCCCTGAGGCACCCCCGAGGTCACCGAAAATACTGAAGAGATGTAATTCTCAATCTTTACAGCCTGCCTTCTACCTGTGAGAAGACTTCCAATCAAGCTCAATAGACCTCCATGCAGCCCCACATCGGCCACCTTCTCCAATAGTATCTTATGGTCAACCCTGTCAAAGGCCTTGGAGAAGTCAGTGTAGACCGAGTCAATCTGACACTTATTCTCCAACCCCTCCAACAGAGCCTCCTCATAGACCAGAAGATTAGTCAATGTAGATCTACCCTTAATAAAGCCATGCTGTTCTGGTACAATAACATGCTTCAAAATTGGTGTAAGAAAATCCGCTATCTAGAGGATAGAACGCAACAAGGACACTTTGAGTGAATATCAAAGGGTCAATCTAGGCATCCCGCAGGGCACAGTCCTTGGCCCCCTGCTTTCCATCATCTATATTAATTCGTTACTAAATGTTAACATACAGGGCCAAATTATATTGTACGCTGACGACACAGTTTTACTATTTAGTGATGATACTTGGCAAGGAGTTAAATATAAAGCAGAACTTGGTACTGGCATGATCAAAGATTGGCTGGACTTTAACGAATTGACTCTTAATATAGACAAATCAAAATATATCGCTTCCTCACTCACTGATGTTAACAGACCAACCTTCGGATTTTTGCAGTTACCGAGAACAGTACTCAAAATCAATGAAGGTAATAATATTAAATACTTGGGTGTGATAGTTGACAGGAATTTGAAGTGGTCCAATCATGTAAATAGCTTAGCTGTTAAAATAAGAAGGCTGGTCTACGTATTTTATGAGCTCCGTAAATTTGTGAACAAAAAACTACTTGTAACAATCTACAAAGCACTGGCTAAATCCATCTTACAGTACGCCATAGTCATGTGGGGTGGTCTCTGTGTTAGTGCAATTGAACCTCTTGATGTTGTACAAAATTACATATTGAAGGTTACATTTCAAAAAGAAAAACGTTTTCCAACTGACCAGCTATATAATGAGAATGTACTAAGTATAAGAATGCTGTATTTCTATAACATTTGCCTTTTTTTTATACAAAAACAAAAATTTACAAACAAAACTTGAGCACAGATACCAAACCAGACAAATATTAAACCAGAATTTAGTAGTTCCTTTCTACCAAAAATACGGCAACCAAAGATTTGCCACGAGCAGACTATACAACTCCCTACCAATAAGCATAAAAAATATACCTAAGTACAATATATTTCCCAAAAAGTGTAAGCCAATTATATACACCAATTATAGGACTTATCTTGATCTATTGTGATTCTCAGCATTGTATGTCTAAGATCTCTTTCTTAGTTTCTTCTTTTTCTTTGCAGTTTTTTCTTATAACTTGCAGGTTATAGGTATAATAAAATTTTGTTTAAGTATATGAAATTCCAGAATAATTAACCTGTAAGATTTTTTTTGCACATACAGATTGTCTGTGATCTAGGTGCATAAATAATTTAATTTAATTTAGCATAAAGATTGAACTGTATTTATTTTATTCATTAAGTATTCATTGTTGAATCATTGATGTTAATTAATTATACTGTAATCAATTGATTAATTATAATTATTCTGTAACTGTACAACGAACTGCCAAATAATAATATAAAACGAACAAGTATGGCCGATTAGAGTAATTGCCAACTAACAGGTTACACCTTTCGTGTGAAAGGGTGAATGGGTTTAAGGTCCTAGAAGCCAGTAACAAACTCAAGTGGAGAACAAAACAACCACTTAATATGTTTATGCCAACACTAACAAAATTTTCGAAATTTGCAACATCCTTGGAAGTCAAATGGAAATAAAAGCACTAAAAACTTTTAAATTAGTCCCTCAATAACCGTGTTTGTTTTTGTCATGTTTTTGGTCGAATTGCTACGAAATTTTGACTGGCACGTGATTTGTAAATTGAAACTGTCTGATCCGAACACGGCGAATGCAAAAGATGTCAATCTTATGGACATACTCAAAAATATTGCGGTAAAGAACCACGATGTAACATGTACAGGAAAACATCTCACTATAGACTGCTCGGAAGCAAAAGATTCCGAGCCAAAATGCGTTCACTGCGGCGACAACCACCCAGCACCAACCAACCAAAGCACTATGGAACAAACATTGCAATTGATTTGTAAAAATTAAACAAACTTCATGAGCGATTAACTAAACTGGAAAATAGCAATAACAGCGCTATTATCAATCGTCAGGATGGTCAGTTACCTTAGAATCTTAGCTTGGATACTTGGAATGCCAATGGTCTCTTGGAAGATCAGCAAGAGTTGCAAGTTATCCTAGATATAGAAAAAAATTGACATTTGCCTGATATCAGAAACGCATTTCTTAAATCAATCTTACATTAATTTTCAAGGATATAAAGTGTACCATACAATTCATGCTAGCAATACAGCACATGGAGGAAGCGCTGTTATAATGGCAACAAATATCCAGTTAAGTTCCCTGAAATTTTGCAGAGGGCGCGAGTGAACTTGGAGTGCTTTAAATTTTGGCGGTAAATGTCAATAGTTTCAAACCGTTTAAATTGAGAAGGAAAGATGACTAAATACATATGAACAATGGACAATGAATAAGTTAAAATATCTTCCAAAGCGTTCAGTGGCTCTTAGAGAATATTTTCAAAAGTGTCAGCGTCAGCTTGTCTTGAAACCACACATCAAACTTAACTTTTGAGGTTAAAATTACAATGGATTAGTTACGCGCCAAAATTTAAAAAGCGCCAAGTATGTACAGAAACGCCCTCTTCAACTCAACTGTCAATATTACATGCCATTGGTCAGTATTTTTGACATGACATTTCGACATTAAAGTTCATTGACAAAATTAAAGGAAAATGTTGCTAAGACATATGTTTAAAAAACCATAGCCATCTTTGATTGGTTATTTTTTTGAGGGCCCAATATCTCACATTGAAAAGACAGGATATAAAACAATAGAAATTCTGTAGCTTGAATTTCTAGTGTAAGTGTAAAACCTAAAACATAAACCATAATATGGTTTATATTTTAGCACATATTATGTGCTGTCTATACCGCGTGTCCCACTAAAAACTGTCAATCGCCTATATCTTAAAAACGCTAATCGATTTAAAAAAAATAATTAAAAACCAGTTTGGAGCGTTGGAAGGGGGAGGGGAACCAAAACAAGGTACTTTTCAGGTCTCCCTGAATCACCCCTACGGCCGTAGCTACCCTAACGTCAAAATCTTAAATGGCACTATGGGTCATGTGATACCTTGTTTTAAAGATCTTCTAATTCTCTTAATGGATCTGCAAAAAAAAATTATCCAGATTTGAATGTGACTCTCATTTCGATGAAAACCTCATTTAACCGGTTGGAACAGGTAAATGTGAATTAAAATTGATTTTATACAAATGGAATAACAGCATGAATATTTTTGAAGAAATCATCAAAATTTTATTTTTTTGAACCCCTTTCCCCTCGCTGTACCTGACAGTACTAAGAGAGCAAAGTTGTTAACTCGAAGCATGCGCCACAATTCAAATTTGTATCTTGATAAATTTTTTTTGCAGATTTGTTTAGAGAATTAAAAAACCTTTCAAACAAACTATCAAATGACCCATAGTGCCATTTAAAATTTTGAGGTTAGGGTAGCTACGGCTGGAGGGGTGATTCAGGGAGACCTAAAAGTAGCTTATTTTGGTTCCCCCTTCCAACCCTCCAAACGAGTTTTTCATTTTTTTTTAATCAATTACCGTTTTCAAGATATATGCCATTGACAGTTTTCGGTGGGTCACCCGGTATACCACCAATGCATCTATTGAAGAAAAATCGATACCTTAATTTTCTTAGAAAGTTGATTTTACAAACAAAAACGTAAATCTCATACAAATCACAATAATAACACTCCTATACCACAGAATAACAAACAATTTATTGCTGACATTAACCAATAACCCTGTACAAGAGTCTCCTTTCTTTATACAATAATTTTACTAGTGAATAACTTGAATAAACTTTGGGATTAATATGAGTTTATAAATCATAGATATATAAAATACATCTTCCCAGATAAAAATAAAAAAATCTGATTAAAATTGAAATCATTTGGTAGCCGAGCTGGGTTATTACTTGAGTAAAGTCGAGAATAAAGTGTAGTTGTGAGTAACTAATACATACTTGCTCTTATTTTTATGGTTTTTTAATTCTTTTTCCATACCTGGTATTGACCTAGGCGGACTCGATCGACTCTGAAGTCCTCTTTGTAGCCTTTGACACTCTTGTTGAGGCGTCGAAGGGCTCAACGTCCTAGAACCTGTGGAGCCTTCACTTCCTCTTCTAACAGGCGAAAATCGTTCTATCGATTTTTGTTCTCGTCCTAAAAAGGGCCGAATCGTGTTCATAATTACTTAAATGAGTTAAGAGAATACTAAATGTGTGTTATTCACAAAAAAAAAGTTTAAGCACACCCATATAAAAATGAAAAAGTAGCATTGGTGCAAAACAACTAGTTTCTGCACTTTAAAAGCTTCAAAACTATTCATAAAACAGAAAAATCAAATACAATTTCAATATCCAGTCATTTTTCACTATTACAATATCTAACCACTTGCAACTACATGGTGGAATGCTGTAGTAAATAAATTACTCAAAATATGGAAGTTTTGGCTTTTAGTGCAGAAACAATCCACCTAACTCACCTAATTCCTGTACAGTAGGTAGCTGCGACCTCATTTGGCGGCTATGTTTACGCTGTGACGAAATAGAAGGCATATACATCCGGTTCATGCGTGCTTCTACTTCCATCACGATTTCAGGCGGGATTACTACATTACAAAAAAAGTGCATGCAAACAATAAACAAAAAAAAAAAAAAAGCAAAAAACTAATTTAGATTTTGAAAAAAAATATATGAACACAACTAAAAGCGTGCCTGGTAACAAAATTGAGCTACAAAAAACATCAAAACTTACCTGGTGGTCTTTCCATTACCGTCAACAAACCCGTTCTACGTGTCCGACTGCCAGAACTTGAACTAGATTGTAAGGAATGTACATCTTCAGGATTTGCCATTGTATGGCGTTTTGTGTTACCTCTACCTTGCAAATATCTGAAAAAAAATTGTGAATAGAAATTGTGACCATCTTAATTTGATAAAAAACCACTCAAGTTAGCCAAGACAAAATAATTTACCTTGCTGCAGCTAAATCATCAAATTGCTGACTATGGTCCAAGGGCTGTGTACCAGTACCACTACTTAAACTACTAGGATTACCACTCGAACTTGTGGACATCATGGAAAGTTGTTCGTGAGATCCTGGCGCGCCCCAGCTCATGTGCAAATTTGCTCCACCATCTGAAACAATATAACAATCCTTTTATATATCAAATTTAAAGTATGTGTCTCAGAGAGTATGAATCTATTGTTGTTTGCACCTGATACTTTTCAAATGAGCCAAGCAAAGCAAACTGAAAATTTTATGTCGGAATTGTCGAACAAAGGCGAAATGGGCGACAAGAATATAATTTTCTGTACATGAGTTTTAAGTGTTAATTGAAGTTTGCTAAGAATAATTAGGCAGATACGTGCAAAACTCTCCGAGACCCCTTATATTTATTTTATAATAATATACCTGAAGCTCTTCGTCCAAATCCTCCAACACTCAACACAGTGGGAGGTTTCAATAAATGCGGATCCTTCCCACCAAAATAGTGAGGATTCTGTTGGCCCAGCATAGGCAAATGTAAGTTTGTGATGGGCAGCATTTTGGTTCCATTAGCCGTGGCGACATCTTGCGGAGGCATTTGACCCATGTAGTGTTTTTCAAGAGCCTGCTCATGGGCTGAATCACCAGGACCCACAGTGTGTCGTCTTACAGTTAAATATTTATCGCCTGATGAGGAACAGCTGCTGTATCCAGTAGAATAAGACGGTATGGTTAGAGAACATGTGTCGTCGCTTTGATCCAAGTCCATTTCTCCAAACTAATGAGAGAATTTCGAAATTAAATGCTCTGATCTTAATCAATGTCCTTAAACCTATCTTCTATTACTACTTGGGAAATATTGGCAGTTGAAAATTGACTTTTTTGCAAGGGTGTAAAACCTAAACGGGTAATTTTGGAGCAAAACCGATCTTACAATTCTGGTCTTAATTTTGCGTAATCATTTGAAACCAACTTTGAATTTAATTGGTTAATGATGATTAAAAATTCCGGTTAAAATTTAATTTTTGTAGAAGGTATAAGGCATTAGACATAAAAAATGTCTAGAATTTCCTGTAGAATTCAACAATGTTGAAACAGATAGGGGATGCCATTTGAAAAAAATAAAGTTCATACCGGAACACCCAGTATAAAAAAAAATTAAACCACAAATAATAAATGGACGGTTTGTGCGTTTTTTCGAACTCACTCCCATTTATTTTTTATTGCACTTATTTTGATCATGCTGCATACTGCATGTCAAAGTAGAGAGTGTCATGATATAGTGACTTGCAGCTCTTTTCACAAAACATGGAATAGATACAATTTATATCGGATGCATTTGACGGGTACAAGGTTCGAATTGAGGAAGTTTTGGGTGATATGAAGAAGCTCAAAGAAGAGAATGTGACATTAAAAAAGGGAGTGGAGGCCATTGAAACCAAGTTAAATGTACAGGAGCAAGTGGAAAAGAGAAAAAATCTAGTTGCTGTTGTTATACCTAAACAAAAAAGTGATGATGTTTCCGTTATGATAAAAATAGTCAAAACTGTAAAAGCTGGGTCACTCACTGTATGAGGATATTATTGATACATATAAAGTGGAAAAACAAGACTCTGGACCAATTTTGTTGAAACTAAAAAGTGAAGAAGTAAAACACGAAATTCTGAAGTGTGTCAGAGAAAAAAAAAAGGCATGAAAAGAAACGAATGTGGTTTAGAAGGTAGAAACAATAATATATACTTTAATGAGGACTTAACATACAGGGTGTCCATCTATAAACTGACACATTTTACTTGCTTATAAGTCGAGAGCGAAAAAAGATCGATGTGCGGTTTTCACAGATATTCATCAATTTTAATAAAGTTTTTTTTGACAGTGTTGTCAAGTTTTAAAATTAACCTGAAGTAGGAGGAAAAAAATTGCTGATTTTCAAAGGCCGATTTCGCAAAAATTTTAAATGGAACACCCTGTATTGTTCATTGATTTTTAACTGACACTTTTCGTATAAGGAGCGAGGGGGTGAACTATATGGCAAAAACAGGTGTGACGTCAGGTGACCATTGGCGTTCTAATGTAGGGAACCACCAGCTCAAATTTTTTTGGAGTATCAGATTAAAATCGACCGACTTTACTTTTTAATTTTACATGAAAGCCTGGTAACTCTCCTTTCTGAAAATACATAAATTGTTTTTCATTGCTTTCATTTTTTTGTCTGGATCCAATTTTAGTAAATGAAATTTTGCAAGTTTTCCTTTATTAATGATTAATGAAAAATTTAATGTAGGTACACCTAATTTCAAAACAAACTGATACGACTTAAATAAATAATTTTTTAAATAACGTTCTCGGTATCAAGTAACAACAATAACAACTTTAGCATGTCAAGGAGGTCGTGAATCGCATAATTTGTTTTGTAACCTTTCCTTCAACTAGTCTCAAATCTTGTTAACGTCGTTCTTTGGGCAGTCCCAATAATGGGTATAAGTAAATTCGGTCCCAAACTTTGTTTTTACCTGATACTGCATAGGTAAATTCGGTCCCGGGTAAATTGTTTTGTGGGTGGTTCAATAAATAACACCTTGTTACGACATAAGAACCGTTGAATTGATCGACTGGAAATTACCGTTCTAAAACGGTTCTCATGTGGGTTGGATTGGAAAAGAGCTATTGTATATTACATATACATACAAGGTGGCCCTTTTCGATGTTTTAATGGGCTTATATCAAAAACCAGCAGAGATATCAAAAATCTGAGAGCACATTTTCGAGCTCTCTTTTTGGGAAAATAACAATGGCGAAGACAAATCACGGCTAACTTGATGCGTTTAGGAAATACAGGGCACATTTCAAATTTTGTCCAATTTTAAAAGACTCTCTAATTTCCTTCTTATTCAAGATATCTGAAAACTAAAAATACTTTCTGTTCCGGTTAGTAGGTATTTAATGAAAAAGAAAATCAAGAGCTGGAGAAGAAAAAACAAAACAGAAGTAACCAAGCAAATAAAAAACAAGTAGACGTCACCTTTTTGAAAAAATAGAAAAAGTTTGTCACACGTTTGTCAATTTGCTCGCTGCCACGCATTTTTTATATTATTTTTTTTTAATAAAACATTTTAAGAAGCTCGTCTGCAGTCCACTGTTTTCCCTGAGCACAGGGTGGTCCTTCGCCAGTTGAAATTCACGCTCGAACATAAGGTTGGTCCTTCGAGCCGGATATTGAATTGACCAGTGAAGAAACGCGCAGGAAGAAAAATAAGTACAAGTCTCGTGAGTCCATTCCAAGTTATTGTCATACGCTCCACACGCTACAACATACATTTTAAAAGCATTGCATTCCTCAATTTGTTTTTGACGGAAAAATATCGATTTTTTGACAATTTTTTTTTGACATTCACCTTTTTACCTGATTTACCAGCGGTTTTTGTTCATTAATCAAATAATTACGGTTTTGCGTATTCAAGTGTACATTTGATCTGATTCATTAGCAAAATGCCACCGAAAAAGTCAGAGGAAGAAAATTCACAACTCAAACATGCTCGAGAAGTTATTATTGATAGGTTGAAACGTTTCAAAGATTTTTTAAGCACGGATAAAAATAATCAAAATTCAATTCAGGTTGAAATCCGCTTGAAGAGTGTTCAAGAGGATTTTCTTGAATTTGATAAAACACAAACCAGTTTAGAATTCTTGGATAGGGCAGAAAAAAGTAACCGTTTAGACATCGAAAATGAGTTTTATGAGGTAATTGGTTTTGCAAAATCGTGCATTGAATCAGTGAAACAAGCAAGCACGACGCTAGTATCGCCATCAGTAGGTACCTTGGGAGTTTCTTCAGGTTCTGTTGCCAAATTACCAGCAATGGGTCTTCCCAGTTTTTACGGTACCTATGAAACTTGGTTAAGTTTCAAAGATATCTTTAATTCGATTGTTCATAATCAAAGCAATTTAAGTGAAGTTGACAAGTTTCTTTACTTAAAAGTTTGTTGCAAAGATGACGCGCTCAGGTTAATAGACTCGTTAGAAGTTACGGCGAGTAATTATCAAATTGCTCTCGATATACTGCACAAACGTTATGAAAATAAACGTGCTATCGTAAATCATCACGTCAACAGCATACTTTCTAAATTGCCAGATATTCAAAAAGAATCCTCCACAAATTTGAGAAAATTGTTAGATCTACTTTTTCAGCATTTAACCTCTCTGAAAAAGTTAGGCTTACCAACGGACAGTTGGGACGCTTTATTAATTCCGATTATTTTGAGCAAACTTGATTACAGAACCAAACGCGAATGGGAAGTTAAACAAGATGATGACAAATTACCCACATTAAATCAATTAACAGACTTTTTAAGTAAAAAGTGTTTTTCCCTCGAAGCATTGCAGTACGAAGCGTCTAAAACTCAAAAAATACACGACACACAAAACATCAGAAACTTGAATTCAAAACACACATCAAACTTCTCATTCAGAAATAATAAATCATCACCACAACAATGTTTTACAGTAACAGGCAATTTAGCTTGTCCTATATGCAATGAAGCTCATTATATTTATCAATGCTCGAATTTCACAAATTTATCAATAAACGAAAAATACAATATAATTCATCAACATAAATTATGTAGTAATTGTTTGCGTCGAGGTCATTTCAAAAATGATTGCAATTCAGGTGTTTGCAAAAAATGTTCCCAAAAACATAACACGTTATTACATGAAGATAATCCACAAACAAAAACTAATTTTGCTCCTTTTAAGCCCAAAGTCACCAGTAATTCAGAAAAAAAGGACTACGTCGCAACATCGACCCTCATAGCTCACGAACTACGCGACAAATTTCCAATTATGACAGACGAAAGCGCGGACATGAGAGTCGACCGTTATGACGCGGCAGCTGGTCAAAGTAACGAGTTTGAGTCAGTGAAGGATAAGAATTTCAATGAAAATGTTTGTATGTCATCTCATTTACCGAATTTTTCAGAATTATCGTTTGTTAATGTAAATGCCAGTCAAGTTCTTCTATCTACAGCTGTGGTGTTAATCGAAGATAAATTTGGAAAGTTGCATGAATGCGTAACTTTGTTAGATTCTGGAAGTCAATCCAATTTAATGACCCGCGAACTTCGTGAAAGGCTGATGTTGGATTCTGAAGAAATCCGCGCTCCTTTAGCAGGTATAAACCAAATAATAATGAATGTTCACGAAAAAACTCAAGCTAAAATAAAATCGCGATTCACTAATTTTCAAACTAAATTAACATTCTTAGTTTTGCCAGTTATTACTGAAAAATTGCCGTTATTTGGATTTCAAAAAATTCAAATCCCTTTGCCAAAAAACATTCCCCTCGCTGATGAAAATTTTAATATACCCAAGAAAATCGATTTATTGTTGGGTGCAAATATATTTTATGAACTTATTGAGAACGGAAAAATCAAATTAGGTCAAAATCTACCTGTTTTAATGCAAACTTCTTTAGGTTGGATTTTAACGGGAACTTTAAGTACAGGCAATATAAATTCTCAAAAATCAGTATGCAATTTCATCAATCAGGTGTCAAATAATGATTTAAACGAAAAGTTAAACAAATTCTGGCAAATCGAAGAGTTACCTCAAATTCAAATTTTGTCACGCGAGTCTCAGTTTTGTGAAGATTATTTTCAGCAAACCACAAGCAGAAATTCAGATGGTCGATTTGTAGTTCGACTACCGTTTTCCGAAAGTAAATGCGAAATTTTAGGCAATTCAAAATCTATGGCTTTGAAAAGATTCAAAAAATTAGAG